GTCTTGGCTCATCTCAGGAAGACTTCTTACTGTGAATGTCTTATACCAATGTAACATCATAGAACTAATTGTTAGGACTGTGTGACATTTCAGCAGCTGTTTCACTTCAGAGGTGTTTCAGCCCATTTTGGCACCCAAAACACCAAATCCGAAATGAAGTGGAAGCTTCTGAAACTAAACGAAACCATCTGAAATGTTTTGGGTGTTTCAGAGCTGGGCTTGCAGGGAAACAAACTAAGAAGAGGGAGGAAGAAGAGTGGGGGGAAGGACTGCTCTGATATTGAAATCTGTAGGTGGCTAGCATCTGCGATCTGTCCCTGAGGTCCCCTCCAATCCCAGTGCTCTGGGGGAGGGATGGTAGCCTGTTGTTATCCTGCGCACAGATCTGGGGGCCCGTGCCCCTGAGGAGGAGTCCAGCACAGCCCTCCCAGGGGGCGCAGTCCCCTGGATCTGCATGCAGGCTGACAGCTGGCTGCCACTTCTGGCTGGGGCCAGCACCTAAGTCTGCTTGGTGCAGCCTGCATTGAACACATCCAGAGGAGCCATGGGAGAAGTTAGCTGGCCCCATCCCCCGCCTGGCCCAGCCTCCCAGCACTGCCACATGGCAGAGCCCCCCACACAGCCCCTGCTCCCAAATCTTCCCTACCCAGCCCTGTCCCTGATGTCCCTGGCCCCAGCATTCCGGCACTTTAAAAAATCAAATTAAAAAAAAACAAACGTCCTGCTCTCACCAGCTCTGGCAATGATGTTCAGGGCCTCTGAGGGCTTGTGGCAAAGCCTCCCCGTGCAGCGTGGGGCAGCGGAGGAGCTGCAGGGGAACATGCAGCCACCTGCCTGTGCCTGCCTCTCCCTGGCCAATCTGAATCTCCAAAACAGCATCAAAACTCTAGAGCAGATTCAGCTGAATCGAACCAGATCAGTGATCTAAAACACTGAAACAAATCACTGTCCTCTGAAAAGGCTGAATCCAAATCGAAATGAGACAGCTGTTTCGTACAGCCCTACTAATTGTAAAACATCAGCTTACGCCTGTTTCTGAGTTGTGAACGTGAATCTTTCAATGGGGCCAAAAGGTATCTTTTGCCAAAATTTTACTCTTTGTGTTAAAATATCTTGGCCTGGATTTCAGCCTCCATTGCCAGAGTCTAACAAATCTTTAAGTATATGCGATTTTTTTCAATAGCTGAATTTGGGCATGGGAAAAGCAAAAGACACAACAGTAACACCAGGGCAACTTTCCTACCACATGGCAAGTGTCAACTGTGGAGAATGGAGATCCTACAATGTCAATGAATAGTGGTAAGAATTTTAACTTAGGCAAATGACACTTCCCTCATTCTAGATATAGAGACCTAATTCTTAGACATGGCTGAACTTTTAAAAAATTAAACACTAAAAATTGTCCAGAAGAAAACTAGCATCCCCATGCTTGAAAATGGCAATGGGAGCTTCATAAGGCTGTAGGCACTTTAATTAGAGTGGCTCTCAGAGCCACTCTAATTAAAGCATCCCCCTCCACCCCTGGAGCACAAGAAAAAAATTACTATAATGCAGAGTCCTCAATACTTGCTGAGCAATAGACAATGCATTTCAGGCTGAATGATTAAGTGTGGCAAAGATAAAAACAAAAAAGTCATGTAACAGGAAATGTTAGATGACTGAAGCAAAAATGGTGCTACTAGGTATACCCAGAATATTTGGGTTGGTAATGCTTGTTACCTAACTCAGAAAAGACCAACAGAATATGGTATTTAACAGTCAGTCATGCGTTTTGAATAAGGATTTCAATTTCTGGACAGACTGAAAAAGCTGAAGCCACTATGTAATCGATATTGTTTGACAAAGTAGAACCCAGATTTTTCATATCAAGGTTGTATGCAGTCCACTTAACTTGCGAGAGGTTGCTATTTTAACGTCCTACCATTCAGCTGATGGTTGCAGCTATTACTTCAAAGGGTGCTACTTCTTTGAGCAGTTGGAAATCATCAGTGATCCTCTGCACTTGTTTGGAGAAGTGGTGCTCTTTTGAAGTGAAAGGTGTAATAAGCAGCTGGAGCACCTCCGCAGTCCCCTGCGGTTGTTTATGGTGGCTCTGTATAGCCTCAGTTATTTTGTGAACCCCTTGTCTTTTCATGGTGCTAAGAAACCTAACCCTACAGAGAATCTGAGTTCTACTGCATATCATTTCTCCACTAAGGGTAAGGTTGAAGTCAATGGAAAGCTTTATGCACTTCAATGCACTTTGGATTTATTCCTGAGTCCAGTGCTGCTCCTGACACCACTCCAAGAAAGACGTGGAGAGCAGCAAAAATGATTAGAGGCTTGGGAAACATGACTGATCCTGAAAGGCTGAAGGAACTTGGGTGAGGGGCGGGTCCAGGGAATGCACTGGTGCACCTGTACCCCTCTTTGATCCCTGGTCTACCCAAAGTTTAAAACCAAGTGCTTGGCAGTGGTAGCAGCGGCTCTAGTCAAGCACTGCTGGGGGAATCAATTGACTTCATGGTTCATAATCTACCTGATCCCTTCTAAAATCATCATTCCACAGGTATTAATGACCCTTTCTTCTTTTTAATTGACTTGATTTTCCACTGATCAAGCTATCCTTGGTTCTACAATTTTGCTGTCTGTTGGCTGTTCCTGGTAATGAAGATCCTATTTCACAGCCCTGCAGATTGTTTTTTTAATTCATTCCAATGAAGTTATATTTGTTTTTGCTTCAATCTTAAACTGAATAATACAGATCTCTATGCCCCTAGCATATTAGTATAGCTTCTAGTTTAAACTGGAGAAAAATGTGTTGTTTTATATGTGAAGATGCACCTCACTGTCTTTACATCTTTTCCTCCATTTTCAACATTCTAGACATGTCCATGACTTCGGTTATTTAGTCTGGAAAAGAGAAGACTGAGGGGGGAAGCTAATAGCAGTCTTCAAATACCTGAAGGGTGATTATAGAGAGGATGGAGATAGACTTTTTTCTGTGGCCATAGGGGACAGGCCTGGGAGCAATGGCCTCAAGATGCAGCAGGGAAATTTAGGTTGGAGATTAGGAGGAACTTTCTGACAGAGGGTGGTCAGGCATTGAAATAGGCTACCTAGAGGAGATGTAGAATCTCCATCCCTGGAAATTTTCAAGAGGAGGTTAGTTGGGGTTAGCTGGGATAGTTGATAATTCGGCCTTAAGATAGACTTGATGACCACATGAGTTCCCTTCCAGCCCTACTTTCCTTATCCCTTGTCCTTTCTCTTATGAATGAAAGACGCCACCTTTTATCCCTCTGATTGGCCAGATGATCAGGCATATGACTCTCTCCTGTCTTTTACAGTGCTTAGTTGCAGCTGATACTTCTATTCTTGCCAGCCCAAGGGTGGGTTCAACTGAATGTCTTCTCTTCGTACGTGTCAGTGATGTTTGTTTCTGCTCCAATGTTTTAAAAAATAACCATTATTGTTCCTGCAAAAATGGCTTAAGTAAATGTTGGAAGACATTTTAGGAGATAGAGTTAAGTTTTACATTTTTTTTTGAACTGTAGTATAATGCCTACCCAGGGATTTATATTAATAGTAGATTACTGTAATCTGTTCAATCAGCAGTGGCTTGAGTCTACTGGGAACTGATGTGAACCTTAGCAAGCTGTCAGCAATTATGGCTATGGAGTAATCAGGTGTGAAATTTATAGATATTTACATTTGAGAAGGCTGTTACTGTAGGAGGTTTTTTTTGCAACTTTTCTGCAGATCAATTTGCCTTCTTGAATGATATATTTTATTTGTGTCTGTGAGCTCTTAATAACTTAGTTTCTCTACAAACTTATTCTGTTTGATGACTTTGCATTGCATGAGCAATTTCTGTAATATTTTGGGGAGCTTTAAATTGTGGTAAGCATACTTAAGTAGTGCCTGCAATGGTTTATCATTTGTGGTGCAAGAAGTATCAGTATAGTTGTCCTCAGCAGTGGCATTTTTTTCTAGTGCCAGTGCAAACAAATTACAGTTGAATACTAAAGAATTACAGTCCAGTCAACCGCACATTAGTGCATCTTATGTTGTTAATCAAATAAATGATAAGCAACTACTTTAAATATTCATCATCTACTTATTGTCCCCCATATTGAAACACATTTTAGTTTATGGTAGAGCAATTTTATTAACGAAGTACATTAAATGCTGTGTTTTTGTTATACTGTGTTTTTAGTCATGCATATGTGTGTGTATTAATAAAATCTTATTTATTAGTTGCTGCTTATTTATCATTGATTCATATAATTTCAGTTGCATTGTAGCAACACTGAGCTGTTTTACTTTGGGTTTATCTACAGGCCATTTTTCTGGGAAGTTATTTGAGCAACCCTCTGTTTTTGTACCTGCTCAAAGCTGGTCCCAATTAGTGTGGCTGTTTGGTATTCTGCTGTATATACTGTATTCCTTTGTTTTCAG